ATTGCTTGAGAAGAAAGCATGTTTAAAATACTGCTAGACGGTGAGAGAGAACAGGCGAGTACGTAACAGCACGAGATATAATCACGAAATTGTAACGGGTTTTTTGAGACTGTATTACGGTATTACGACTCATATAAGTTTAAAACCATAAGAACCAACACAGATTTTATCGGTATTTACACGGTTTTCGATATTAATTCGCAGCAACACAAGTGCAGACAAGATTTTTTTCATGGCGGAGGTTGGTCCGGGGGGGTACCATATATATATATATATACACGCATACATCTACACACACACACACGCAGTTATGCCATTGTCCACGTAAAGTTACATATCAACACGGGTGTTGTGCAAGAAACTCAGGATGGGTGGCGGGTCATGTTGCTGAGCCATTGTATATCAGAATATGTGGCACGTGGTTGCAGTTCAACCAAGCAGCAGTCATGTGCATGTCTCTGCACAGGTGGAGCTCACTCACCTTCGGCAACGCTTCAACAAGCGCTCCCAGACAGTCTGACCTGGCGGGCAAAAGTGCGGTGACATGGGGGTGCCTGACTGCGGGGAACACTTGGATACATTTGGAAAGCTGCGCTGCAGTCACTGATGAGTGACATCTGGTGTCATGTGGATGCAGAGCACATGAATAAGTAGGTCAAACAAAGTGGGGTAGGTAGAAGGAGTGTGCCCAACCCAGTATAGCGCTTACGACGCACCTGCACTCCTACCGCACGCGGACTGCCAGCCCTGCCTGCACCAGACATGGTTCATGTCAGGGGTTGACAGCGTACCGTAGGGGGTAATGGCATGAAGGTTTCTGTCGAAACCTTCTCTTGCGCTTAGCTGTGCGATTCATGTCCATAACTCTCACAGGACATCCGAGCTTTCCACCTCAGCCTTCGATGCCACGTCAAAGTTTTGTGAAGTCCTTATACGGTTCAAAGTCTCGAAGCAGCTTAAACAGGGACACTGAAGCCGCGCAAAGCTCCTCCAGAGACCCATCCAGCCGAACCTAGCAGCGAAAGGACTTGGCGAAGGAACGCCAGCGGGCCATGGCTATGCCCGAACCGGTAGGGTTCCCAGTCGGTTCCTGCTTCCTGGCGCAATGCCCGGCCTGAGTTTAGCCACAGGAGATTCTGTTCGGGGTAGCAGTGTTGTGCAGTTCAAGAAGACTGATCTGCACATCCAAGGCCCCCGGCTACAGCGGCCCACGCTACGCGCAGGCTGCTTTCGTGGGAAAGCCGCATTGAATCGGAGACGGCGACAGTCTGGAGTCAAGGTGTCAGGTCTCCACGTCCAGAATCTCTACTAAGTTCCGGAAGTAGTATCCAATTAATGAAGCGCGGATAATGTCAAACTCACAGGGAGGATTTCTCCGTTTATCGCCGCTGTGAACATCCAGAGCTTAATTTACTCCCTCCATTGCTGCTGAAATCGATTGAATTCTCACACCCTGTCTTCGACTTCGAGGTTGTAGCCTGCCAATGGAGGGTTCGCTAGGGTTTTCTTGAGACCAACTGACATTGGGTCCCATGTGTGATCAAGCAGCCCGATTCTTCATATCATTATGTTGGAAAGTCTTGTCCGAAACAACACATGAGATACATATGCGGCCGCACAGGCATTGTGTGAAGGACTGAGCTCTTGTGCCAGGCAAGCGATGTCAACGATGCGTGGCTCCAGAGGCATCCTCTGCTTGTGCTGCAGAATCTTGGGTGCTCGGGCTCGGGTTCTAAAGTCAGCTCCGACATCGAGATCGAAGATCGAAGCTTGAGGAGCGCCTCCGGGCTCAACGCCGCCAGCATAGCTGCGCAATTTGCTGAAGTTTTTGAGTCGATAAGAGCATGCTGACGAGATATGAGACTAGCCGCGATAACCTGCTTCCTGATCTGCATCCATTAAGTGTTCATATTTATATGCCGTAATATTGCTCCGGCAAATCCGTTTCCCTGTTTCAGATATTTTCAGATCGGTGTCTTATCGTTCGATTTCGGTGCAACAAAGCCACCTCTCACATCGCGGTGCCTGGCATATCCAGCTGGTGTTTTTGTCGGATCTCCGTAGAGCTACTTGGAGCTACTGTGCTGAGGGGTACAAAGTAGGTAAAGTAGTAGTGTGGTCAGAGCGAACTGCTGAAGGCTCCTGCAGTGCCAGCAGCAGGGACAGCTCCTTCCAAAGAAGGACTCCCGCATCAGGTTGTGTGCATTGGCTCCTCGTATATTGATACACTGATACACCCGACACTGAAAATTGAGCATGTCTGACAACGGAGCTTGCCAGCCGAACTACCTTATGTAGATCATGTGCTGAATACCGTTCTTTGATGCACTGTGACATCCACATCCACAGTTCCTTTGCGCAGCGCTGAGCTGAACGAGCCAATTACCACTTGCAGCCAGCACTGACTCAGTTTGGACTGCTCACAATGAGTCCGCAGACATACACGTCTGCCTCAGCAGAACGGCTGCAACTCCAACGCTGGGCAAGCCCGAGTTAAAGCTTTCGTCGCACTGTATTCAGACGCCCTTTCGGATCTACGCCGCCCTTGCCATGCAGCAAGGATAAATCACTCCGCATACCGGGCTTGCCCGCATAAGAAGGCCGGCTTTGCACAAGATCCCAATCCCAACCGCACCTTTCCGCCAGCACTCCCGGTCCTGGGAGGATGCTTACCTGCTTGTGTTGGATGTGATCCGGCAGCTAAAGAGCGAGCAGACCCTGGGCCGAATCCAGGTGCTGGACTCAGCGTTGCACTTCGACGACACCTCTTTAGTGGCTCTTTAGTCTCCTCTTAGTTGCTGCCTTGCTGGACTTGTTGTCGTTGGTAGTCATCGTGAACATGCTTCCTTCTCCTGATACTTCCCTACTTCTCACCAGGACTGCTTCGCTAGCAGCACGGTGCCGCTTACCAAGATGAATCCGGGCCAGAAGCTCACGGTGTTCGGCGACATCCACGGCCAGTATTTCGACTTCATGAACATGCTGAGCCAGGGGCCTGGGAAGTTCGCCGAGATCAGGCATGTAGCAGACAATGCTTCGGTTTGTGCAGACGTGCTGCATGCTCGCTTGGTTTGTTATAGGAATGTATGACGTATCTCATGTGTCTGCATGCACAGTTGTCATGCACGTCTGTACGTATGTATTATGTATACATGCATGCATGCGTACACGCATCCATGGATGGATGGACGGATGGACGGATGGATGGACTGATGGATGGATGGGATGTGTATCTGGGATGTATGTACGTATGTATGTATGTATGTATGTATGTATGTATGTAACATATGTATGTATGTGCTTGGCATGTATGTACCGATAAGTATGTATGCACGCATGCATGTATGTACTGGTACGTATGTACTTACTGGTATGAGTGTACTAGTATGTAAATACTGGTATGTATGTAGTGGCATGTATGTACTGGTATATATTTGTATGAACGAATGAGCGAATGAATGAATGAATGA